CCCACAGCAGCTAATTCTGCTGCCGCAACGACTTTCGAGTGCTCTCGCTCCCGAAACTCGAACAAATGTCAGAAGCCACGGCTTTACGAGACGACACATCCAGCGCTTCCTTAGCGGCAGCCTTTGTCAACACCTTCTGGGCCTTCCCTCGAGGGTGGCGCACCGCGAACGAGTCTACAGGTTACGCAGGCTCGGCTGGTTCCTATATTGCCGCCAGGGCTCAGGGAAGCACATGATCGCCAGGACGTGTGTCCCGCTGCACCCGGCCAGGTGCAAATGGCTGCTTCCGACCTAGACCATATGCACCACGACAGAATGATGTCAACTAAAGACTTCCAACTGACGCGGCCAGCATCTTTATGTTCTACCAAACTGCTGGTTGAATCGGCGCCGTCGTACGTGGTAAAGGAGGGACATCCGCACAGATACGAGCATCCCACTCGAGCTCAGTCCTCGTCTCTGGGGTCTACTCAGCGCCTCGACCTTAGTAAGGGCAAGTCACGGTCTATAGGCCCTAGGATTGCCCAGGAGCATGAATCGGGTTCGGGTGGAAGCAATAGAAGTAGCTAAACCATTGAGAAGGCACGAAGAGAGTCACCAAGGTGAATTCGCCGCAACTGGAGCGCAAGAGAGCCAACGACAGGAAGGTCCAACGAGCTAGGCGGACGAAGACAAAGAAACACATCGGGAGACTCGAGCGAGAGATTGCGGTGCTCAAGGGCAAGGGCAGCCGCGAGAGGATCGTCCAGGAGCTCCTGCGGAAGAACCGGGCCTTGGAAAACGAACTATTTCGGTGCAAGGAAACTATGAGACAGGCATTAAGGCCTCCTAGCCCGGCTCAGGGAACGAGTTTCCCGCCGTGACGGGCGGTGTTCATCGACAGTCCCAATGTACGATATCCTACGTTCTGCGAGCGCCGTGGCATGTTCATTGCTATTTACCACGCCTTCTGGCCATCCATGCATCGTCTCTTTCTTTTATCCTCTTCTGTTGAACTACATATGTACCAACCACGGGCGCTGCCTACATTCATGTTGCTCGGGGCTTAATAATCCATCCCCGTCGCCTCCACTGCCGCGACCTTTGCAGACCACCCAAGGCTGATGCCTGTTTGCTGTACTCATTCTTTAATGACGCCGAGAACCCTGAGCGGCCGTTTAGTTGTGCGTCGGCGTGTCACCCTCGACCTTGAACTCCGGTTCGGACCATCTTCGTTGTGCCGCGCTACCAAATTGGCAGGCTCGCTGTTCGTCTTGTGTCACTGTGACAAAGCGGTGTGGACATTCACGTCGTCGGCGATATGCACTCGGATAAGGTGCAGAGGACTGGAGAGCACGTTCCAGAGGATTGCCAGGCACCCGCCATGGTCCGGTGTTGTCACGTCCGGCGGCGTGTACCGGATGCTGACTCGGAAGGCATTTGTGGAAGGGGGAACGGCGACTAGGCTTGATAAGCGGGGCAATAGGCCCTTGTTGTTCGTCTTTGGGCAGTCCAGGAACACCACAATGACTCGCGCTGGGTGTTCCACAAGCAAGGTCTCCAGCTCCCCAAGGGCAGCGTCTCCAAGAGGATTCTCCCCGATTCGCCGAAACCCGCGTAGGATTGCCTGAAGCAAACCCAGCCGGCGCACTTTGCGCGTCCCAGGACAAGATGTAGTAAAGATAGGATCGAAGGCCGCAGCAAGGTACACAGCGTCGATAGGAGAAGTTGCCGATGACACGATGACGGAGCCGCCTTGAGGCAGGCGCCAGGATGGCTGTTGGGCTACCGAGCCACGTCTAACGCCATCGATTTGTAGGTCCGTCCACCACGTGCCGGAGATACCCATCAGTATGAATAAAGCAAGCTTCTTAACAACGGAGCCACTTGGGAACCATTGCAGTAGTATCCCGTAGGCGGCGATGGTAATGAAGATGAGGGGCAAGCGGGTAACAAGGAGAAGGACTTGCAAGATGAGTGAGAAGACGGAGGAAAAGAAGTTGACCGCGAATAGTGAAGAGACCAGGCAGGCCGAGAACATGCCCTGCTCAATAATGTTGTTGGAAACCAAAGCTGGCCTGACGGTCATATTGGGACGATGTTGTTACGGATATTGTAGGATCAGGCCCTGATGTGTGAGTATGGATGAAGCGCTCGGGCTCCTTTTCTGTCTCGACAGGCATCTGAAGGCACTAGGTTCACCAAAGACGTTGCCGTGGAGCGACTCTTGATGCATGTGCAGGTTACCCCGCCAGAGGTAATGACATGATCATCCACGGATCACTTCCACGAAGGTTTTGGCCCGGCAATGGAGGTTGGTTCGCAAGGTGGCTGGCTGGCCCATGAAACTTCCCGTGTGCATGCGGCTCAATTTGACCCACATCGGGGAGGATAATCCAGTCCATGGGACCAAGGCCGGCATTAGGCGAAACTCCAAGCCCTAAGACCAAAGTGAATTAGCGACAGGAGGGCTGAACATGCCAGTTGGGTCGGGCTCGATCGTGCCGACCGCTTGGAGCGGCGGGGTTGGCGGGGACTAGGATGCGATGCATCAGTCGGGTAGGGGTCAAACGGTAGGACCACAATGGAGAGACAGAGCTGCGCCGTGCGGCACCGGGGCTGCATTGACGGGCGGGAGAGATGGCTTTTAGGGACCTTCCTAAGGCGCCGTCACGTGGATCCGAGGTGAGGGTTGAATTGCCGCCTTTACTGGTTCGTCCATGGACAGGGTGTCAAGGACTCGCAGACCGGGACGGCCCGCCCTTTCCGGGGGCCTGCTGAGGCGCCGGCCGAAGTTGGGCCACTGGCCAAGCCTTGACGTTGAACACCCGCCGAGCAAGGAGCCAAGAATAACAAACCCGCGAAAACCGATGGAGCCCACGGATCGATGCGATGGGGTTCGTCGCAGCACCAGGCTAACGAGTGCTGGTGCGCCAAAACCCTGCCTTTGCCAGAGCCAGAAACGGCTTCACAGGACTCTACCCAGTTGGGATCCATGATTTTGCCAAGCCGGAAACCGCTTCGCCATGCAGCGCAACCAGTGAGCTAGAATGGGAGGGAAGGCGATGGGGGTTGTGGTCGGGAAGGTGGGTGGGAGGGAGCAAACAGGTTGACCGGGGCGCTAACGTTCTGTTCCCGAGGATGGGATCATTCATCATTCGCGCCTGACGACCTCCGGTCTCCCTCCAAGTCTCCCAGGCGCTCCTCTGGTCTTCCCCCGGGCGCTCCAACCACTGCCCGAGCCTTCTCCGGCTGCACTGACGCATCGCGATCCTGCAGCGGGCAACCACAACTCCCGGCGCCCCCGCATCAGCCCGCACCTGCCCGCACTAATGGCATTGTCCAGCCCCCAATTTGTGGCACAGCACTCCCCTCTTGACTTGGTTGCCACACCTGCCAATGAGTCAAGGCTTGTCTAAAATTAGGTTCGTTGCATGAGGTTGGGCTTTGCCTCGGATTCTTCATTAACCACCAAACGCATGCTCATTGCTGAAGAACATCTAAAAGTGCTAATTTGAGATGCTAACCGCCGGTATCCAGCCTCACGCACAGACGTGCCAACCTCCTAGAGCTACCCTGGGCTTTTCAGTCACAAGCTGAATGTTAGTTACACAGTGCACTGGCCATGCGACCAAAACGTGAAGGAGCCGTGGAGTGCTAACCCATGTTCATTTCTGCGTCTTATCCGTGCCGCAGGTAGGGCACGCATTCCCTTTTACGTTGCCTGTGTCCAAGCATGTTTCGCATTCATACATCTTGGCGAAAATATTGGCAGTGAACCGGACCTGATCGTACTTTGCGTCCAAGTTATAGAGCAAGAGCTGTCGATGTCGGGGTCGTCAGGTTAATGCCTAAACCCTGGGCGCCAAAGAGGTATTTATGCTGATTCCTGTCGCGTTTGCCCCTCCAAACTCACAAGCCAATGAAAACACTCGTTTTGGCTGCGAGCGTTAATTGGCTGTTCGGATCAACGTACTGCCGAAATGGGGGCTCCTACAAACCCCGCTTCGATCTTCGTGAAAGCTGCCACTTGAGGTTGGCAACCACCGAAGATGGATGGCCTCTTCGAGTGGAGGCAGTGCACTTGCTCTGCTATCTTTCCAACAGTCGACGCGTTGGGCGGCCATATAGAGGAGCATAAAGTCAGTATTCCACTTTGTAAACTGCAGGGCTAATATCGTCCAGGTTTGGGAAGTCGAGCTGAAGAAATGGGAGACCAACATATCCGCCGCGCTCGCAAAATGCAGAACCCACTCCGCAGTGAATCCCGGAGATCTTCAGGACGACGACGAAGATCCAGATACAGGCAGGAGTACTAAAGGGCGTCATTGTCCTTAGGAGGGATGCGGACGAACTGAACCCTTTGCGAAGCGCAAGGAACTTCGCATACACTACCGACAGCGTACGTTTTCCCCGGTTCCTACGTCTCAAACTAGATTTTAACGCAGCGCCTGTAGATGTCGAATGCAAAGAAGTGTGCCTGTGCTGTGGCCACCGCTTCAACGTGGCGAGCGCATTCTTGAGACATACGCCAAAGAGTTCAGAAATGGATGACATGATGGCTACCTTTATGGCACGCAGACGTGATATGATGGTAAAGCGTGTCGACGAGGAGCTATTTCTTGCAGAAAACAAGAAGAGAAGACGGGAGACGGCAGGCGAAGAGGCAGTGATGTCGAAAAGCGCGAGAACGACCGAAATCGATTTAGCGCCCACCGGGTTACGAGTGACGGGTATGAACTCTTTCCATATACATCAGCTCTAACTGACATACAAGATGCTTCTGTCATTCCCCCCGACACGCGGTTAATGCCACCCCAAGGCGTTGCCGAGCCACCGACCGCTGGCGCGTTTACAGACGTGTCAGTAGAAGGGCCGATTCGTCACCAGTCTACAGTAAATACGGCTCTCGACGATCTGGGCTACAATGCTCCAGTCAATATGGTTATCAACTTTGCTCCGACAATGCCAGGATAGTCCAGGTGGATGTCATCACCAGATGAGATTGGGATAAATGGAGTGGCTGGCTACCATGAGCCGAGATAGCTATGTATTTGGTGCTTCGAGGGCAACTTCATAGTTCAATCTAATTCCGTCACTCTGCATGCTAGCAACCTTCTGTTCCAACAGAGCTGAAACCATCATCTTGGGCCAGTTCTCGATGATGTCGTCCGTCGCGAACTCGAACTTGATCACATATCCTTCTTTGATTTCGTAGTGAACTCAGGCATCAAGAATGACTCTGCGACGCTGTCAGAACATGTCATTCACTATGAAGTGAAGAACTTACGCGCCACCATCTCAGAAACTCTTCGGCGTGGCCACACAGCCCACTTCACCGAGGGCAGATGGCTGAGTTTCCCATAACAACCTGGCTCCTTTCTGCTTTGGCAGGTCATGTAGGTGCGAACCGCCATAGTATTCCACGCGGGATCCTTTGGCCCATAGATGAACCAGCAGAGCGCGCCTACCAGCCTTTGGGCCACCTGATCTGAAGCAGACGACGTGGCCCGGGTATGCTTTGTACCTCAGCCAGTGCGCAAGTGTGCACTGTCCAAGGATTGCTTCGACCGTGGTCCTGATACGCTTGAAAGTGTTAGACACTAATGTTTGCATGGCCTCATCCTACTCACCATATCGTCGAGGACACGTTTCCGACAAAGTCCAGTCCATACTCCGAGACATAGGGAAAGCGTCTTCGTTCCATCTCCCACACGTCGTCTCCCGTTGTCGAGTCTTCGAGGTCAAAGAAGCCATCTTTGTCGAGACCTTCCTTTGCGGCCTCCAACGAGAACGCCATGGACGCCATGGACGCCATGAACAATTTCCAGAATTGCTGTTCGGACTGCCTGATGCCTCACGAGTTAGCTGGTGGCCCAACCCCTCATGCTGTTGCGGGGCCAGGTTTCCGGAGAAAGAATCTTCCGATCAGCCCCTCCCAGCGGAGGGGTTCGAATATGACCACGTCTTCGACTGGACTGAGAAGTTGTTCGACGAGATGCAGAAAGGCCGATGATGGAGAGGTCGGGCAGCTCCAAATCCAAAGAGGTCGAAGAGAGATCTACGACAAGGAGGTCAGGGCAACGCGACAACTGCCGGGCAACTAAGAGATTATCGATAAAATCGATGTACCAGACCTCAAACTCCTAGCCTTTGCTACCGCGCGATGTGCACCTGCCCTTGTTGTTGCAGGGGGTCAGCCACTCGTTAATGCAGCTGCTGGTTCATGCTAACGACGCAGGTTTCGTACTTCACGTGTTTACCAGAGGAGTGTCTCTGGTCTGGCCATACGCTCCAGAAGTTTGGGGGCAGATGGCTCCGCGGCCATCCTGGTGGGGAGGATTCAGATGGGCCAATTGGAGTGCTGTGGCAGACCCACCAAGGGACTAACTGGTTAGTCTTTGGGTGGGGTCTTAGTCTTGGCACCAGCGACTTCTGCGGACCGCCCGCGTTTCTGTCAGCCGGGCTGCAGCCTGCCACGATGAACCAACTTCCACCCCACCTGACGCCCATTCTCACCAGCTTCGTTTCCGTGCCTACAACACTTCAGCTGTCAGCCCGTTCTCTATATCGAGCCCTGCTCTCCTCCATCGCGCCCTGCTCTCCTCCATCATCTGCTCTCCATCGCCAGGTTTGCCCCAAATGGAGCAACTACAGGCTGAATTAAAGGGCATGAAGGAGGAGCTTAAGAATCTTGCCTCTGTCGTCAGATGCTTTCGTACTCAGCAAGATGCTCGACCGCGACACCGCGCAACACAACAAGAGACAGAACGGCTACGACCAGAAGTTTCGAGCACGAATTCCAGCACGAAGGACTCGGAGCACATTTTAATCGACGCCGTCTCTCGGTTCGAGGCGCGTTTGGAGGAATTCGACGGGAAGATTAAGAGCGCACTAATGAGCACCGATCCGCTCCCCAGCGCCGATACTCCTGCCCACAATGCCTCTTCCGTCAGCCGACCCACCTACCAGCAATGCCTCTTCTAGTACCGACTCTCCTTCCACCGCCGATACATCGCCTAGCGCCGGCGCTCCTCCGGCGTCCGATACCCCTCCCGGCGCCCGCCCTCCTTTCATCGGCAATGCCTCTTCTCGTGCCGACTCGCCTTCTGGCGACGACGCTCCTCCGGGCCGCAAAACAACTCCCGGCGCTAAGTCTCCTCTCATCGGCGATGCATCTCCTGGCGCCGACCATCTTTCTGGCTGCGATACCCCTTCTAGCACCGGCACTCCTCTCATCAGCAATTCCTTTCCCAGCGCCGACTCTCCTTCCACCGGCAATACCTCTCCTAACGCCAACTCTCCTGGTGCCGACTCTGCTCCCATTGGCAATGTCTCTCGAACCCCACTCCCATCTGCACCTCGGCCTGCTCAGCGTTCTGGCGGCCGTCTTAGCGATGGGAATCGTCGTGCCGATAGCCCCCTTGCCCATCGTCTTTATGCTCCTCCTGACGCTCCTCCCAACGCCCCCCCCCCCCCCCCCCCAACGCTCCTCCTGACACTCCCCCGGACTCTCCTCCTGAGGCTATGCTGAAGCCCATCTTCACGCTTGGGCTCTCGGACTTGGGGGAACGTCTGATTCCGAAGCTGCAGACACTCATCGAGGATAACAACTCCACTGGCAAGCTGTTGGTCGAGGATATGGGGCTCACTTCCACAGCGCTTGTAGATGCTGTACAACCTCTGCAAAGCTCGGGATTTAATACACAATTCGAAGTGGAACATCGATTGGATGGGGCCATTTGGCGCCTTTACACTCAGCCGCTGAACGAATTGCAGATTCCTGACCTTTCCAACGTTGAAACGCCATCGGATGATCCAGAACAGTACCTTGAGGACCTGTACCGGAACCTGCCAGAGGAACCAATCTCTTACTACGTTGGCCCCCTTTCTGGGTCTGTCGCTGAGAGGCTTCAGTCCTATTTCCCCTCTGGCGACGAGGTTTGTCAACTTGGTCATGTCCCTGGTGTCTCTACACTCTATGGGCATGTTGGTGAAGAAGCATCGGGGACTGCCTTCCACTGCGAGGATGCGAACCTCCGCTCGTACAACCTCACCCTCGTTGGCTGGAAGATCTGGATCCTGATCCGACTTCATCACACCGCCCACTTCGAAGATCTGGTCCGGCGGCTGACCGAGTGCGGCGACGGCTGCGATCAGTTTGTCCGCCATACTTCGGTCATCATTCGATACTACGAGCAGAGAACATCGAGTTTGACATCATCTGCTCCGGGCCGGGAGACATGGTCTTGACTCAGCCGAGACAGTACCATGCTGTCATCAACCGTACCGCTTCCTTTGCGATCGCAACGAACTTCGTGCTGCCAAACGAGGACCCGATTCCAAAGACGCTCTCCCTGTGCCCTGATGATGGGTTGTATCATTTGGAGCATCGGATGATCCGAAAACTTGGTCACGCGAAACGCAAGGGATATGCCAGTCAGCTCGAAGCGCCTCCCCGGAGAAAACGGCCCAAGTTACACAAACCTCTCGAATTGTCCGTTGCAGAAGTCCTTGCACACGAGACAACAAATCGGGATGCGATTCTTCGATTCATGGCCGTTGTCCGCGCATGGCGAGAGGTTGGCGGCGACGTTCGCGGACAGCTGTTGAGGTCGAGAAATGCAACAACAGGACACAAGCCTTGGACACACTGAGGATGGCTTTCCGGGAGAACTCACAGCTGTTTTCCTTCCTGGAGATCCTAGCCAGTGTTCACCTTGTCCGGAACCTCGAACGCCGTATTACCGTCATCGCTCCAGAGGCGATCGACAGCCTTTTGGAAATTCGAGGACTCCCACACACCGAGCAGAGCCGTAGGTCTATACGAAACGAGCTCACTGCCTATCAGAAATGGGATCAGCTATGTGGTGCAACATCTGCATACACCTACGAGGGAATTCTCTGTTTTGCACCCCCTGTCTTCAGGGATTATCGGGAAGTGACGAGAAAGCAGGTCCAGCACCTGACCAGAGACGACATCGCATTGTTCCGTTCTAAGCTTCAGGAGGTGGAGCACGTACAACGCCTGTGCGAGGCTGGCAGGGCTTTTCAGATGGGGATCTTTGGGTCTGCGGAGTTTACGGAGCGGCCGTTTGAAGCGCGGCAACGGAACCTGTCTGAGCTTGATCTCGAGGACCTACTTCAGTTGCTTTAGTATTTCATCAGCAAGAGTCGGAGTACACAGGCTGGCCAGACCCGAGTTCTCCAGACGTGTGTGCCGCACGTTGTCCTCGATTGCCATTGCTGGTTTGCGCCGACGTAACTATCGTGATAAATGGGCCCACTAATCTCGACTTATTTGCGGATAGCAGCTTGGCCTTTCAAGCGTTATTAGTTGCATCCCCGAGCGTCTGAAAGTGTGGCCTCTGGACGGCCCTGAGCACCCGTGAGGATGTCCCTCTTTTTAGCAACGTGCATGACAGGGGTCGAGCTATGACATCACATTCGTCGTCATTTTGGTGCCATTTCTAGCTCCCTGGGCCCCGCTCTACCCCTTGAGTCCAGGCGATACCCGCATTCCCGGACCCCGGGTTGCCAGCCCCTACTTCCGGATGAGCGTGAGAATTTCCTCTCCAAACTCCGGCCCAAAAGGGAAGCTTGCGCAAGGCCCTGCCGGGCATCGTCGGTACCCGGCGAGCCACCTTAAGCCTAGAAGACACCAACCAGGCCATGAAGGTATCGATGGGCATCGATGGTCGCAATCCCCCAGAATGGGTTTTAGGGAGTCAAAAATAGCAATTCCAACCCCTGTAATAACATGTGAAATCAAGGGTGGGGCTATGACATCATATCCTTGTGGCCTAACCCTGAAGACGCGAGATCCTGGGTCTGGATCTGAGATCGGAGACTTTCTATTAACGTTAGTGGATGAAACATTAAAAGCAGATCGAGAATCTAAAAACACAAAATGGGTGTCTAGTGGGTGAAAACATGGAAATGGGAAAGGTTGAGTGTTGGATTTCCACTAGTGGTAAAGATATAAGGGTGGGTTTCCACTACTGGGTGAAGACATGGAAATGAGAAAAGGGTTTCCACTACAGTAGGCGGGTCGTTGGTCAATGCTCGTACGGTTCGCTGACTGCACCGCTCCCCTCAGCGGAAGAGGCTCGCCTCCTATTTTGAAGGTCGTTTCACTACGGAACTGATTTCAGGTCCGCTGCCGTTGCGGGGTTGGCGCAATAATCACGCCACAATGGCGCAAAATCAGCCGATTTTGAACACCGAGGATGCTTGGTCGGGGAAAACCGGACAGTTTGACTCAGCCGTAGGCCAGTGGCGTCAGGGATGTTGCCCAATGTTATCGATCGAAACAGCGTTGCTTGCCAATGACCGGTAATTGCTCTTCTCCACCTGTGAATCAAGATTATTCATGACTGAGGTCATGCGGGCAAATTCGGGCAAAGTTTGCGGGTCGCCTTATCGTGAACATCCTGCAGAGCCCATTTGAGAAGAAAAATATCGCAGATGGGGCACCGGAGGTCCAGAGAAGCACTGGCCAAAAAAGACACAACCGTAACGGCATTTGGGACCAACCTAACGTGGCGGAGCCACGTGACTTGAATGAACGAAAGCGGAAGTTCGCGGGTGGGGCAGAAGACCTTTCGTCGCTCCATTCCTCAAGCGCAACCCTGCGTCAATCCGTCTCAACTTCGAATCATGACAATGACAGCTATGTAGCTTGCTAGACAGCCCCGATAAGTATTCGTTGATTTCTGCTTTCCTTCTGGATCTGTCGTGGCGAGCACAATATGCACTGTACTATACGTGCACGTTATACGGAGTACTGTATTAACATTTGGACCACTAATTCTCTGCTTCCATGTCTTGCACATGTGTAGCCGCGATACTGTAGCACTTCTGCTGGTTCATCAATCCAATTCTACATCAAACTGGGGACTTGGCCATGGCGCACCGAGGGAGCTCATGCCTTGATACGCGAGATAGCAATTATGGTTTGGGGCCGAAGTAGGCACGTGGCGATCGCTACGTACCTGGCACCAACGACTTATTCCGTATAAAAGGACTGACACCCTATACATGTCATGGCCTTTTGTTATTGCCAGATCGTATCTACCAACCAATCCTCGTTTGCCACTGTGTAGGCGATCATTAGCCACCAAGATGAATACCATAAGTTTTCCTTTAGGACCCACTAAAGAGCGCGCTCAGCACGCTAATACCAGCAATTTAGGTCAGATCGTTTTGGTAGGAGTGATCCTGAATTCGCATTCGGCATGCTTGGCAACTTACATAATCTCCTGCCCAGGCTTGGTTGGGGCTCCCTCTGTGTAGGTATGGTAGCTTCGGACCCGACGTCGAGCTGCATCATTGACCATGCATCGCAGCCGGCGGTGGAGCATACTACTTTGCCAAGAAGGGCATCAACGCAGACAGAGCGGCGCGACTTGAGGAGCGGCGGATAAAGAAAGCCATGATCGACTCCCCGGAATATAGCCCTAGGCTCCAGAGCAAACCTACGAATCCCCGCGACGCGGAGAGCATGTCAGTTGACAACAATGAACGAGCAGTTCGCATGGATACAGCAGGCACACAGTTGCAGACGCGCAGAAGTACTCCATCGCCTGCTAACCACGGACCGGCGACCTAGACGACAAAAGCACTCGGCCAATTGATGTCTTCCATGTGTCGCGGTTTCCAAAACGGGAAGTGAGACAAAAGTCGCAAACAAGCAACCAGCCGGCTATTCTGTCTCTACATGCCTAGTTGCACGTGGAGCTTCTGCGATAAGTGATAAATGATCTACCCCTAGGCCTTGGCAAGGCAACGGACGGAAGGATTGCGTCCATTTTAGGTGTACAAGGACTGGACAGTAGCTACAATACCCACCATAGCGTAGGAGCGTCAATGCCAACAGAGCGTCCCCAGTGGGGGCCGAACAGGACGTCTACCGCAGACACTACTTTCTAACAGGCATCGGAAGAAATATATCTGTCGCTACTTCGGGTCGATCATTCTATAGGCTGCACGAGAGTCTGCCGCACTTCCTCTAAACGATCTACTACAGGGTAGCTCTGGCTTAACTCCACACCATCGGTTGCCCCGAAAAGCTGAGATGTATGGTTAGCAGAAGTCTTAATGGACGGTCATGGCGAATCTAGAGACCAAAGTTGAAACGCACCTTCTTTATGTCCCCATAAATGCCAAATTGCACTGCTGTCATGCCACCAACCATGATTGCTCTTGCTTGCATGCCTGTGTAGGCACCGCGAAGTCCAAGCCCAGTTGCGATGCGAACTAAGCGGCGGGTTGTGCTTTCGCCTTTGTTTGCCCTTTCCTTGTTGATTTTACTCAAGATCGTGTCGGCTGGTTGGGAGACGACGGCGGCGGCCAAACCAGAGACAAGCCCGGCACCAAGGTTGATGCCAGTAACTGCCATCGAAGTGAGCTCGCTCTTGTCTACAATGCTATATGCTGTCTGGATAGCCTTTTCGTAGACCAAAAATGTTGCCATAGTGTAGGGAATCCTGCGACGACGACTTGATTAGCAGCCGGATATATCGAGCACGGGGATCGGGATGGGCCGCCTGGTCGGACGCACTGTTTGAGGAGGATGGGACTCAGGCCGGAGTACAAGCCACTAAGACCCTCTTCTCTGGCCAGTTTAGCAAGCCCGCTCACGAAGCCAACGGCGTAGGTAGGCTGAGACACGAGCCGGATTCGAACAGACTCGAATGGGCAGAGCGCGATATCACCAAGGAACTCGGCCGCGGCGGCGGAGGCAAGGTATACAGCATTCCGGTTATTGGTAGCAGTCGAGTGCCCAAGATAGTCGACCGCGCGAGCTTTGAAATACTCGTAGCCGCCAAACTTGAAGGCACCCTGGAGGCAGTAACCTGCGATGGTAGGGCCTAGCCCTATCAGGAGAGCTCCTCGCCCTTCTGATGAAACTATCTGCCGTGCACTCTGAGAAATGTTGCTGCTGTATGTGGTTGGATCGAGCTGGATCCGTGTTTTAACACTGCGCAAGGAAGAGGTGTCAGCTGCCTCACCGTCGCAGGGTAGATGACATAGGATCGTTACACCCAGTCAATGTCGCGTGAAGGTCTGATGTTGTTGGGCACGACAACCAACCCCGCACTGAAGACAAGGAGAGCTTGCTTGCTTACACATCGACGGGTGTGAGGACGGCATGTGTGAAAGCGCAACAGAAGGCGCCAGCGAGAGCATATCTTGCGTACAGAGACACTCCCATAGCCTCTTCGGTTGTTGCAGTGTCCACGGCCTTGTCCTTGGTCGGCATGATTTTGTCTCTAGCGGCCTTGATTGGTTCTCCAGGGCTCTGTGTACGTGTAACAACGTTGTGGATGCTACTGAAGACAGTGAGCTAATGCACTAGGAGGAAGACAGACTGCAATAACCGTCTATTCAAAGGGTATTTAGAGCCACCGCCACCTTTTCGAGCTTTGGCTTTTCAGGTCGCTCAATTTGTCGGAGAAGGCCCTTCGTTGCTGCTCGCTCAGACTGTTTCCCACAGCATCCAGAACCTTCAAGTGCTCCTTCTTCAGGTCCTCGAACCCCGCGTCTAACTCCTTGTGCCACGGATATAGCACCAACACCTGGAAACCCAGTGCAGAGCTGGCTACCAGGAAGTTCGTCAAGGATATAGCTCGCGTGACTATCATTGTAGGTCGTGACGTGAGGAAGGTAGTCAAACAGAGCCGTTGACTGTTTGTGCCTGACGGCAGATCAGTGAAAAGTTGAGTGTGTCGGACGTCGGTTGGCCGAGGAGCTCGCGGAAATGGACGGTCGCAGTCGGCGGATATGGTCCAAGGCGTGAGAAGAAACGTCAGAAGACCAAATTGGAAGGTGTAGAAAAATGACGGAGAGAGTGTAATCAAAAAGCGGAAAGATAAGACGAGCAGGCCCCTTCAGCGGATTTCTCAGGGCGGTGAGAGACGCCGGACAGACCCGGCGCATATCTGCAGCGGCAGGTACGCCAGCACCGTGTCACCAAAAAGGACTGATAGTGAAGAGCCGGGGTGTCTGGCGCTAAGTCTCTATCAGTCACTCATTTTAATATGCAGACACGGAAGACGTCAGGCCCACCCCTTGCGCCATCATTACGGAGTACCATTCTTAGTATAGATGACCGAGTCAGGTTTTCGTCTGGAGACACATCCACTTTGTGTTGTGGCACCCACGTATCACGCTGATGTCCAGGGGCGTCACACTCCAACACTAGCCACTGAGCTCTCTCCCAACACACAATCCACCCGTTGCACACCGGCAAATTCCTTGTCCAGGTGCACACCCGAAGAATCGCCACAGTGCTCGTCTGAATGCTGAATTTTCTCAACCAGGAGACGACGTTCCAAGCATGGCTAAGGAAGAAGTGAGATGCCCAATCCAAGATTGGCAAGAGCGAACAGAGATCGTGAGCAATGCTAGGATGCGGTGAATAGCCAGTGATTGTTGCTCACTTAGACGGCAGGACACACTGCGTCGCTTGACGGAATATATTTCATTTCAGGAAGCAAAAAATCGATTCCTTCTGGAGGAGCGGTTTGAGCTACAAACAAATATCGCCATGTGTGAGAATTTATTCCTCAAGCTTACGGAGCAGACTCCGAGCCGCAGTGATGTATCGGTTTGAGCGGGGCTTTGGCGCAGGCATATTCTTTGATGTTGCACACTACTGGACAATGGTTCTCCCAGACACATCCTCCACCACACAAGCCAAGTACTCATGCTGCCGCCGTAGCCTCGTCTTCTGGACCCTCAGCAAGGAAGCTCCAGCTCATCATTATCCGAAGACGTCCAAAGGGCCAGATTGTCACGAAGGAGTTGCATGACTAGTGTGCTGCCAGGATACGACTCCTCGGTCAAGGAGTCGAGCTCGTCAATGGCATCATCAAACGCCTGCTTGGCCAGATCGCAAGCAAGATCTGGCGAGTTCAGGATATCGTAGTAGAAGACGGAGAAATTGAGAGCCAAGCCCAGGCGCAAGGGATGAGTGGGAGTGAGCTCGGTGCGAGCAACATCGACGGCAGTCTAAAGTAGCAATTTAAGCTGATTGGCGTCTGACTCAACGAATCTCGAGCTCACCTTGTAGGCCATGTGGGCAGACGTGACGGCCACGTTGTGCTTCTCGCCCGACGCGAACTCGGCCAGATAACGACAGTAGTCACCCTTCCTAAACACGAGAAGTCAGTCCACGGACCATTAAGACTGGCGGTGAGAAGGTAGGTAAGATAGGCATGCATCTTGTGATAGAAAACCTTGGAGCCTCCTGTCGAGGCGCTTGGAATCAGTCTCTCATCTAGCTCCTCTACCACATCCCGGCAGACCTTCTCCAGCTCGTCCTCAATCCTGTGGCGGTATTCGCGGATGGTAGAAATGTGCTTCCGGCTGCCCCTGGACACCTTCTTTTGCTCGATCGCGGAGATGTTGCGCCAGCTGACACGGCGCGCGCCGATCACGTTCTTATAAGCAACACTCAAAAGATTCCGCTCATCGACGCTGAGCTCACCGCCCATCTTGACGATTTCCTTCAGATGGGTAACCATATCGTCGTAACGCTCAGCCTGCTCGCAGAGACGGGCGACGAAAGTCTGGCTGTGGCCGTGAAGTCAGCACCGAGGGTCTGGAGGAGCAGCCGGACATAACCAGACACATTCAACGCGAGGGTGGGCGGGTACAAACTTCGCACGCTGCTTGTTGGAGTTAGCGACGCTACTGGATCAAAAGACTTGACGAAGAGCGAGCCGATAGGGAGATCGCGTGCAATATTCGGTGGTGGGGTGCCACAGCGGCTAAGTAGGGGAAACTTGCTTCGGACGTCATTCCGACTTCGTGTCACCCGCGTAGCTGGAGAGAGTGCAGATTGGATCCGCGAGGATCAACGACAAAATAGTACTAGATTAGGGGGAAACGACGCAGCGATAAGGTTGACAAGAGAAGAGTGGCGAATCAAGATGGCTGGTCACGTCAAAGTAGTTCGCACGACGATAAGACGGAGGTTATTTTGGAGCACCCCTAGGGGAGCAGTGCCCTTTTCATTACGGGAGCAGTACACCCCCTGGTTTTAACACTAAGCAGCATCAGTGTCTAGGTCTGGGAAAGTTGCAACGGGATCTGACTCGCCGGCCCAAAGGGTCGTTGATGCTGAGGAAAATGCGTCCTCAACTGGTGGGACGTGTACGGGCTTACATATCGATGGGCGTGAGGATGGCATGGGTGAACGAGCAACAAACGGCACCGGCCGAAGCGTATCTTGAATATGGCGCAACATCGTCGAGTTTGGTCAATGATTTGATTATCGACGGCTTGGGTGTATGCTTGGGTATTTGTGCCACAGCAACAAGAGACGAAGACGACGGAGGCGAAACTGGTGAGCGTTCCATGGTGCTGTAGATGGCATCAGTGCCAAGAGACGGTTGCTGGCAGGTGCAAAAGGTGGGTTACTGCCCGGATAGGAGAGCTCTTTTGAATGTGGCATGATCAAATCCTTGGCGCTACATACCCTTGCACCCAACATACGTAGTATGTACGACCCCACAAGCTCCCCACTAACTTTAAGTTTTGTATGCAGAATTCGATGGTGCACTCGCCCGTGTGGTGCACTCGCCCGTGAAATACGTTACCTAGTCCGGTTAATCAGTCCGGTTGAAATAACCTCTCCCCAACGCTGCTCCGCATCCCGTCTTCAATGCAAGTATCGTTCGATGTGCCCTAGGCCAGCCTGAGGCCACTTCCCCGTTGGCGAACACTGACACATTTTGCTTGGCACACACCCCACGAAATGAAACACGGGGATGAATCTTAATTGGGCGGAGTTGGAACAGATAAGAATCAAATCAAGACGATCCCACCCAGGGAAAGGTGAATACCTGTTCGCACTGTGGCGGGAGACTTCCAAATTGTCCTGAAAGCTCCGACGGGACCCACTGTCACTGTCGTTGGCATTCAAGCGCCACATCATATGATTCCCCATACGTATCCAGGATCTTCCGGCGTCGGATAATCGGAGCATAAGAATGACAAACACTAAAAGATGCAGTTCACATGTAAACACTGGTTAAATGGCAAGAAATCGGGTTGGGTTTGAGGCTGAAGACCCCGTATTTGCCAAGAGATAGTCTCCAGAGATATAGTCACTAGCGAAATCGGCTTCCGCTTTTTACTCACTGTTCAATTGTCCGGGGACCCTTTTTTGGGCCTCTTGGCGCTTACACCGTGCCTGTTCCCACGGTTAAATGTTCTATACAGTCCAGCACAGTGCTTTACTGCCTTGCTTACCTAAGACAGGGGCAAGAGGCGCTAGTAAAAGCCCCTCTTTACCTTGTGACAGTACAGTCAGATTCGAAATCGGTGTCCGTGTGGGTCAGGCACGAACTCTTCTGCGCACAGGCCACCTAATCCTGGCAACACCACTCACATCAGTGGAGAAGCCAACATGCATGCGGGGAGATGGGGTAGAGGACAGCCAATGTGTGCTCCATGATCATTGATGGCTTGATCTCGACTCCTCGCTTATTGCACAACTGAAGGCACCACATTATGAGGAAAACACGCGATGCTGTAACAAATAAGTTTCTTGCAACCAAACATTTCTGCACTTAGTCCGAAGTGAACGAGTCCCGGTTGGAGACAACTAAACAACACAGGACAGTGGGTTTCAGGTTCACCGTCTAGTTCCTTCAAATGCAAATTGCATAAAGGAAAGCCACTTTTGGATGGTGAGCAGTACAATATATGTGAAACAATGTGTTCTGCCGCTGCAGGTCTGACTGCGACTGTGAGAGAAGTGAGAAACACTGAACAGCTAGAACTACGTAAGCAGATATCATTACGTTATCGCAGTCCACTCGTTCATTGCGTCCTCCAGAGGAGAAGCATTGTCACCTCCTTTTAAAACAATTGATCTCACTGCAGAATCTAGAGACGCTATGTATATGCACCAATGCTGCCGTCGTCAGATAGCTTTAAAGCAAAAAGAGCTAACATTCCTTGCTCGGCACGCTACGTATCTGATCGCTGAAGCGCTCAAGAAGTGTGTGGATGGTCCTGTTCTAATACCTTAACTCTGAGTTGGTCGCTGGCATCCATCAAGCCGATAGCCTCCCTCGTGCGCGCTTGAGCGTGCCAGGTAAAAGCAGGTTCGCCATGCTAGTTAGCGTGTCGGGATGGTCTGGTCCGCGTTTCCGCTATTTGGTACCGTGACTTTAGGATCATTCCGTGCTGCGAAGGGTGCGGGGCAAGTGGATTGCTACAGAGAGTTGAATCAGATCTATTTTCAGGGACCATTTCAGGGACCATTTCAGGGACCATTTCAGGGACCATTTCAGGGACCATTTCAGGGACCATTTCAAGGACCCCGCCCGGCGACGTACGATTCACCATCTTGTAGGCCTGTTGATTCGGTGAGGATCCGAGAACATCGGTGAGCTTTATTAACGGAGGATCGAGTATTTCTGTACTGTATTTCTTAAGACATTAGGGTATCTGAGCGATTTGGGCCATAAAAAATCAGAGTGCTGGCGTTTCAAGGCCGCCTTTTGACACATGTCGTGAAAAGCTCATCCAGAAACGTCGTCTCCTCATCCGCAGCCGCCTCCACGTTCCATGCGCCGACAGTCCGTCCCTGGCCTGCCGACTCGGCTGACGTGGCACGGGTAAGATGATTCATCTCGATCGACGGGTCCAGCCTTGATCGCCCTGAGCCGCCACGTTTCTCCGTTATTAAGACGTTTCGTTTCGGGGTCCCAGCCACTATGCGCTGGCTACCACCTGCAGAACTCGGCCGCGACGGTAACCCCCCGTCGGAGGGGGTTAAGTTCTCCTGGTTGGCCTCCTGCACGTCCACCATAATCTCCTGGGATACCATGATCCCCCCAAACAGCGACGGCTGTGTTGTTGACGATATCGCCGGCTGCTGCCCAGGCTGTTGGTCCGGAAGTGGCGGGGGATCGAGCTGCCTTGGCTGTCCGCAGCCGGTGCAGGGGTTCTCGGTTAGGCCAAGCTCGTCATCGGACTTGCCGCCGCCGAAGCCACAGTTGCACACATGAAGAGATGATGAGCTGTGGTGGGACGCGCCGACGATGCGTAATCTTTCGACCGACACAGGCGGCAGCGACGACAGAAGGGCTGACATCTCGCGGTGCAAGGTGCGGCCGAACACGCCGTGGTGTGGCGAGTGATTGCGTACCAGCTGGCGCACGTTGAGTAACTGAAACGGCACAAATGTGCCCAGCTGGCTACGCACAGTGGCGTTGATGCTCAGGATCACCTGCAGGGTGATGAGCGGACAGGTGTTTGGACCTGATGATGGGCCACTAAGCGATCGGCAGGGTATGTGAACGACCCTGGCCGAAAGCGACGCCTCTTCGCACACTTGGAGGTCGATCTCGTTCTGCAGGGTGGAGATTCCTCCTTGAAGCTGGGCGGCAAACTGGTCCTCAAGCAGCGAGCGGCCCTTCATAAGATCCAGTTGTCGAAGCAGCGTGGGAACGGCCATCCCGTCGAGGTTGCGGAGGAAGTCATGGTGCCATCGTTGAAGCTTCTCCAAAGGTAACGGGACCATTGGGAGAGCGTTTCGCGACTCTCTGTTGACCAGCACGTCAAATCCGAATCGGTCCAGCCGAGCCCGTAGAGCAAAGATGCCGAGGTAAACTCCGGGCTCAACTTCGGCCTTGTTTTCTTCGTAAGTGGCCATGTCAAGCAGTCTCTCCTCAAGCCGCCTCGTCCTAATTTGCATGCTTGATCGGATGATGTCGACGACACGGCGTGGCTCGGCGAACCGGAGCCCGGAAGCTTCTAGCCTGGCGATCTCATGAGGTGCACTAAGGTGCCGCACCAAGAACAGCAGGCAACCCCGGCCGATCAGGTCCTGGCTTTGCCTTATCCCTGTTTCGAGCAGATCGTGTCGGGCTTGGGCGTCTTCGATCTTTGGCTGCATTCTGACGTCCGTGCCATTAGGGCTGACAATCCTGTTGACGGTGGTCCCAAGCCTGGCGAGCGGCCGCGGTTCACCGGCAGTGCCTGTGACAAAAATCTCGTCCCAGAGCGCCCCAGCATTGGCGAGGACCTCGCCCAACCTGTACGACGGGGTCGACGCGGCCATGCAGAACAGCTCGCGAATTATCATGTCGGAGTTTTGGACAAGTTGGCCATTCTCCTGGACTAGTTTAACGGACCTCATGCCGCGGCCGCCACCGTTGGGCAGTCGGTCCAAGTGAGTCCTCATCCAGTCGAGCAGGGTCGCAACATTCGACCAGTTACGAGACGCCCTGTACATCCAGTGGAAGAGCGGGTGGGCCGTACTGAAGATATCGTCCGCTGATTTTTGGGGGACCGTCTCCGTGATCGTCTCGCTGGGCAGCAGGCCATCTGGGCTGACAAGGATCCTACCCCGACCGTCGAACACGGCGGCAGCCAATACGATCTGATGTGCCTTTGCGGCATATCGCTTCCTCGTCCTCGCTGTACAAACTGCGGTGGTAATCATGACACAGGACGCGGCGACAGACTGGCAGTGTCAGCAGAGAAGGAACTCCGACCAAACAGAATGGTTTTTCGGCCAACTGACCAGACAGACGACTGCTATGACAGTGGTGTTCCTCGAAGCGTTGCTCTCGCCCGAATCCGGTACATGTCGCAACGTGTATCTCGTTCCCAAGGCAGCGCACCAGTGCATTCCAGACACGGCGCCCGCGAGGATGAAGGCGCAACAAATTCTCCTCAGCGTCGAGTTGGTCCAGGCGTTCCTGAACACGAAAAAGAGCGACAGTGCGCCTGTGCTAGCGGAGACGGCGATGACAGCGGCACCGACCACGTTTGCAGTGTTGTAACTGCAGCGGTAGTTGCTGATAGATGCATCGCCGAGGTAATGCATGCCACAGATAGCGCTACCTGAGAGCAAGCCTGCCAGACAGACGCGCCACCATCGAACATCTTCGTTGATGCTTACCGCGAGAAATGCGATCAGCAGAACGACGACTGGTACGAAGAACGACGCAACTGTGGTGCGAACCGAGTAAACGATTTGCAGCTCCGGCTCACCGTTCAACAACGTGATTGCCCGGTTTGCGATGAAATGCTGTGAGGCTGATCAGCTGGCATCAGAGCTGTGGAATAGTGGGGAGGACGAACCATGGACCATATTGCAATGCCTTGCATCGATATGGCCGCACTGACGAGGAAAAGACTAGAGGAGAGGAGGGTCAGCAAACATTGACGCGAGAGTGACAGAGGGAGGCCTTACAGATTATAGGTTCCCTTGAGCGAGGTCCGCCGGTGGAGTAGCTCGAGAGTCGAGCCGGCCCCGAGGGCGCTGATGGCGTAGCTCAAGATCACGAAGCCGATATGGAAAGAATAAGGGACGGTTTCCCCGATGTATCGGTCCAACGAGTTGTCGGTGGTCGACATCTTTGGCCGGTGTCTTGATAGTCTGTGTAGATTCGGGCACCTTTCGTGTCGCCTGATGCCAAAGTTGGTCAGTGGCAGGTGACGATGGAGTGCCTGGTTCAGGCCGAGGACGGTGGTCATTTGGTGAGGGATTGTGCAGTGGGTGGGGATGCGGGCGGTGCCGGGTGTCGACCGAGATCTGGTTAGCACAGGAGCAGGATCCAGCTCCGTCACCTGAAAACCAGCTTCTGGCTCTCAATTCGGCAACAGGTAGCACTCCCCTCGTCGCAGAGGGGCTGATTACAGTCGTGCTACAGTAGAGCAGCGAAGTTCTTTGAAGGACGAATGCGCTTACTATTCTGGAGCTGCTGTACAGTACCCGAAGTCTTCTTTTGCAAGGATGATGCTAGTCTGTTTGGTGCCATTTTCTGAGGCACCAGGCAGTTGCCGCCGCCTGGTCGCGATGGAGGCAGTCATTGATTCGCGTTGCTGTTTGCTTGCTTAGCTAAACACCCGCGTTGATGGTTGCCACTCAGTGATAGACGAAACACTCATTTGAGGCGGCGCTTGATGTAACGGAGGTGGCGGGGGGATGCTCGCTGGGTGTCCGCCGAGATCTGGGACATGTCGCCCGGCGCAGGAGCAGAATTCAGCGCCAACACCTGGCAAAGCAGTTTTTGGATCTACATGAGGTGTCTGGCGGTGTAGGGCTAGGGTGTGGGAGACCGCTGGAGAGTACGGGTGGGTACACCTCAGCAGGTGCCGTGCCTTCGGGTCCATTTCGACAAGGTTTCTTCAAGCCTCGAGTGAGCCATTTCTGGCTTTCATTAAGTACCTCCACCAAGTAGAAGGTCGCTCAATGTACCTCCAAGACCTGGTTGGTGGATCATGGAGCAGAAATCCAGAACCGGATTAGCCACCCCATCTGACCTCATCCGGTACCAACTGGCAGAACGCCATACGCGCCAGAACTTCGGGTTCGTCCACCAAACAGCAGGCAGCGTGCACTTGTGTCAAACATCGGGGGACGTCGCTCCAGGATGTGTAGTCTAAGCCTTCGTCCGGCCCCTAGATCTCGGTGTAGATGGATGCGCGTTATAAAGAAGGAGCTTGGTCCAATTGTGATGCCTGGCCCTGGGCCGTGGGCTATGGAGGATACCTCCTGTGCCACAAGCCAGGGAGGGATAACCGTGAGGCGTCTTCATGGAGGGACCTGTAAGAGTCCCGCTTTTGGTCAAAGGGTCTCTTCGAGATACGAGTGACGTAGAGGCTAGTCAAATTACCTCACCAGCCCTACGCTAAACTGTCACCGGGAATCATCCACCTATGTCGGCCTAGGCTTCCCGGTCGACCAGGGGGCTTTGCAGCCTAGGTTGCGATGTCTCAGACGCATTGTGTTCACAGACAACGGTCCTTGGCCCCAGAGTGGCCTTGGACGGGTATCTGAGGAGGTGGAGCGTCCCTGGACGCAAGCAGTCCTGGGGACTTCGGGACACCTGGGATGTAGGGTCACCCAGGATATCGCGGGTCCCAAGAGACATGTCTCAAGAGCTTTTTCCTAGGGCACAGGTCGACCCCGGACGTATTTTGTCCGCTATGTCGCAAGGCGCAACACTCATCCGAAACCGCTCTCACACGATCATGCGGGAGGTTCACCATAAGGGTGTCGGAGTCGAAGACGACGAGGACGCGAACGGTACCGCTCGGCTACTCATACGCCAGTCCAACGAGAGTCCTCGGAGATTGACAGCTGAGGAGCGCCGCCTGAGCCAGATGATCCTCAGCACACAGATGCGCAGTATGCGCCTCATTGGTAACAGCAACCCGCGGTATCATTGGGACCGCTACTGGAAGACCCAGGAGCAGCTCAAGTCCATGCCAAAACCCGTCCGCCAGTACTATGAGCGGAGCAATGATCTTATTCGCATGTACTTGTACATCGACCAGCTCCTCGAATCCTCCGTTCCCCATGACCTCCTCAACGAATATTGCGAGTCCCTCAACGCCTCCGCCTTTCGCCCCATAGATGTTCCTCACACCATCTCCGAGGGGCTTCCCACTCCCCTGGACGCCTCTCCCAACAGCCCCAGCCAGCTCGCCAGCCTGGCGGCGCCAGAGAGTGAGCTGAACAGCACCAGCGCTGTCAGTTTTGCCAATGATACCTCCAAAAAGAAGCTGCCGAAGCGCAATCCCAGGGAAATCTTTCGGTCCACGGAGACGACTCCTCTTCTTTCTGCCGTGAATCGGGACCAGGTCATCCATGACGAAGAAGACAGCCTCTTAGACGGAGATTACCCCAAGCCTGAGATCCCTTGGCTTCAGGACTCTGACCTGGACAGCGACGACCACGTCGTGACGCTCGCCATTTGGGTCAACTTCATCACAAACGCTGTTCTCCTTCTTAGCAAGATCGTCGTCGTTCTTTCCGTCCCCTCCATCTCCGTTCTCGCCAGCGTTGTCGATGCTGCTCTCGACTTTCTCAGCACAGCGATTGTCTGGACAACCACGCGCTTGATCGCCGCGAGCCAGAATGACCGGCATCGCTATCCAGTCGGCCGGCGCTGTCTTGAGCCCGTTGGTGTGCTCGTGTTCTCTATTGTCATGGTCACATCTTTTTGCCAGGTCTTCCTCGAGGCGATTCAAAGGCTCGCCTCCCCAGACCACTTCATTGTCGAGCTGTAAGTCTTTCCATTCGCGCCACTTCATGGATGCTATTATGGTGTGGAGTCGCTCACACACCCTTGAACTGCAGTGGATTTCCCGCCCTCACCATCATGATCGGCACGGTTGTCATCAAGGGGGCCTGTTGGCTCTGGTGCCGCATCATTAAGAACTCCTCCGTCCGCGCTCTCGCCGACGACGCCGTGACCGACGTCATCTTCAACGCCGGCTCCATCTTCTTTCCAATCGTCGGCTTCTACGCTAAGATATGGTGGATGGACGCCCTAGGCGGCCTCCTTCTGTCTCTCATTGTCATGGCCAACTGGAGCCAGACCTCGATGCACTATGTCCGGACCTGACCGGCTTCTCAGCCACGTCTGACGAACGCAACCTCCGTGAGTTCAAACGATTTCTGAAGCACTAGTTTGACGTTTTGCCGCTCAAATCATGGCTTTTTTGCTCTTCCCTCATATGATGGCGCCGGAAGCTAACGCCTTTGCCTCCTCTGTCCACAGTCCTGTACCTCACCAGGCGCTTCTCAACCGCCATCAAGCAAATTCAAAACCTGCGCGCCTACCACGTAGGCGACAAACTCTTCGTCGAGCTCGACATTGTCCTCTCGGCCAACATGCCTCTCAAAGACAGCCACGACCTCGGCGAGGTCATCACGTACTTCCTCGAGGCCGTCCCGGTCGTCGACCGGGCGTTCGTCCACGTCGACTACGCCACCTACAATCTACAGACACATATCAACACCTAAAAGGCTGCTTTTCAAATCTGAGCGTTGTGAGACAGCGGTATGTATCACCATCATCTCCGAGCATCTTTGGATCATGCAAACTCATCTCTGACGTCGTCGCTGGTTCAGATTGACGTCGCAAGTCGCGATTTGGCAGGAGTTAGAAAGGATAGGCGTATGAGCTTCTTTACCTTTAAATTTATGATCTACATGACAGCAAGCGACAATTTGGGTACGGCGTATCTATGTGGACATTTGGTCAAAGAGGGTATTATTAGTAGGCAAGCAACAAGCATAAGGCGAAGAAATGAAAGAAAGCTGGCCCGAACTGGCCTCTTCCAGGGGCGACTCGGTCAAGAATCGTCCCGCTGCAAACCAGACCATTCTATCCAAGCCTCCCTCCCCGTCCGCGATCACTCCTCTACTGACAGTCTTTCTAGCTGTTCTGTGTCTATGTACTAGTCAGGCCGCTGCTGGCCCTCCTCTGCTTCTGTCTGCTGATTATCGCTCGTCGACGCTATGTATATGTGAGTACTTTGGACGGGACCGCCCGGAATTGCCCGAGGAGCTCTGTCCTGAGGATCATCTTTGCTGCTCGTACTGCCATGGTCGAACTACAGAGTATGCGTTTGACGTCCACGCATGGTTGCTTGCCTGCCCACATTCGGTGTAGTTCGTCTGCCCAGTCTCTGCATTCAAGGAGGATGTGCCGCACCGTTTGCGGTCCGCGGTCGCATTCGCACCGGTCGGTGTCGGTCTTGTTGATGGAATGGAGATAGGCACGTTGTGAATCGACTGAAGGCTCAATCGAATCGGGATCGCGGAAAACCTGATCGAGTTGCGATTGAATCGACTTCTCAATCGCCGATCTCAATCGCCGACTACCTCGACCAGTTGATCTGCGGACCACCCTGGTTGGGCATGCGTGTACAAGAGCACCATGCGGCAAGTTCACGGCAAATACATACAATGCAGAGTTACCATCATAGTCGAGTCTACCGAGATGCCTCGCGGGGTTGACAATTGACAAACAGAGACCCTGAATGCTCCAATCCGCGGCTTATCATGCCAGCTGGTTCTCAGTCTTCGACCAGGTTGATCTTCAAGCCACCCGGCGACTAATTCCCCGCAGCTGGCCAAGACACGGGGCCGCTACGAGGACGATCTCTGGGCTTGCTTCAGACGTAGGTACGTTGCTACGACTGCTACGGTGTGTTGGATGGTGGTGGTTGGTGCTCTGTGATGAGAGATCACCGAATCTGCAGAAACAATTCGTCAACCCACCGTGGTTTGGGTGGTCGAGACTGGCAGAGACTGTTGCATGCATGCAGCCTTTCTTTAGCCGGGACTTGGCGGAGCTGGACTCGACAGCTGCGAATGGGGGCCATTGGGCCTTCGCTGTTGCGATCTTTGTGCTCAGTGGCGACATGTGTTTGCTGGCTTTTGTGACGGGACCATGTAAGTGGTACGGATGTCCACTGGTTGCATTGTGTGTCTGAGACAGATCGCGTGCTGTCGGCAGCCACTGAATGTTGTGTAAGTACCTCCCTAGGTCACTATAGCAGTGGTTCTTCAGCGCATGCGGGCAACTACAGCAGTGGGTCCGATTGCGTCAGCGCTGCAGCTACAGGAGTCTGAGCCTGCATCACGGACGCCATGTCTGCGGGGGGGCCG